GCGTGCAGGAGGCAGCTGATTAGTGATTCTCTCATCATTGATGTTTCTATCTCTCTCCCTTTCCCTTCATCTCTGAAATCAATAAAAATATATTAAAAAAAACACACACAGATTAAGTTATAAGACTTTAAAGCAGACACATGAAATAAACGGATATATTATTCCCCTTTGGTGAATTTAACAGTGAGAGCCTTTTTAAGTAACCATCTTCAAAATATAAAGGTTAATGGTGCTGCAAGGGAGAAAATGGATTCTCTAGCGGGTTACCCTGTGATGCAAATGCTGACTTGCATTTTGAAAAATAAACTTCCTGTAAACAAGTTCTGTTAAGCCTTTTAAAGTAGTACTTCCTGAAAGAGTAAGACTAAGAAGCAGCAACCTAACCAGCATCCCTGCCCCTGCTAGGAGAAGAGAGATGGCTGCAACCAGGCGGTGGCAGAGTGCCAAGCAGGGCCCTTCTGCCAGCGCCAAGACAGTGCTGCTCCTGCTGGCAGTCTGCCAGGCAGTGCGGGTGACAGACCACTGCTGGGACTTTGTGGCAGGAAGACGCGCGTTTCCCCTGGAGCGAGGGTGCTTTCTTTAGGAGAGAATTGTGTAATATGATAGTCCCCTTTTTGCCTTGGCTACCAAGAAACTCAGTTATAAACCTTGTATTTAAAAAGTACAGGAAGTATTACAATAGCAGCCAATATTTATTTACATATTGAGCCCTTTATATGTGATATTTTACTGATGTGCCCAAATGCATCCATTCATGCTATTTGTACTAAATGCTTACTGTGTGCCAGGCAGCTTTCTAGGGGGTTGGGGACACCTCCATGATCAAAACAAATCAAAGTCCCTGATGCAGAGGAACTTCCATTCTGGTGGAGACGGGGAGAGAAAATAAACAATACTAACAAGTAAGCTACACTCTGTGTTGGATGGAGGTAAGTGCTGGGGATAAAAACAAGGCAGGAAGGAGGGACGGAGCATGAGGGAGACTCAGTTTTAAATAGCACAGTCACTGCAAGGCCTTCCGCTAAGGTGACAACTGGGAGCCAGCCATGCAGATAAGGTCAGGTACCAAGGCCCTGAGGCGGAATGTGCCAATGTTCCTGGCCTTTAAAAGGAACAGCTGAAGGGGAGGAGGAGAAACATCAGCGAAGCAATGGGAGCGGCGCAGCTGTGTGGAGGCCGCAGGGACAGAGGACAGGCAGTCCCTGGAGGGATCTGAGCGAGGATCTGGGTTGAGTTGACAGAGGATGGGAGGGGAGCAGGCCTCAGGCCAGACCAGTGAGGAGCTCATGCAGTCACACAGGTGAGACCTGGTGGCTTCCATCAGGTGTGGGTGCTGACAAGCAGGGGCAAGGGTCAGATGCTGTGCATATTCTGAAGGCAGAGGGGACAGAACTGGCTGTGGGTGTGAGAAATAAGATCCAAGGATGACTGAGGCGTTAGGTCTGTGGAGTGGGAAGCCGGAGTTGCTTCGAGACTCTGGGAGCAGCGGGTTGGGAGCTCAGTTCTGCACAAGTTCTGCTTTGGGTGCCATCGCACAGCCAGGAGGAGCTGTCAAACAGGCAGCAGGACTGCAGCTGAGCAGAGGCCGGGTCTGAGCCCTGGGCCTCCAACCAGAGGCTGCTAGTCCGCGGTGGGGGGAAGGAGGGTGGTCCCAGCATCTCTGAGTGACCTTGGGCTCCAGTAGAAGCCGAGCCCCACTAGGGCACTTGGGATTATTTACTGCTTTCAAGTCTTCCTTTGAAATAGGCGAATAGACATTAAAAATGGCCTTGAGCCCAGTCGGCATGGCTCAGTGGTTGAGCGTCCGTCGACTTATAAACCAGGAGGTCAGGGTTCGATTCCTGGTCAAGGCACACGCCCTGGTTGTGGGCTCCATGTAGGGCATGCAGGAGGCAACCGATCAATGACTCACTCATCACTGATGTTTCTATCCCTTTCTCCCTCTCCCTTCCTCTTTGAAATCAATAAAAATATATTTAAAAAAAGAAAAAGGCCTTTGAGTAAGTTGTATAACTCCAATTTGTGTTTCCTCATCTATAAAATGGGGTGATATCCCACCTGAGCGCTAATCTCATAGGGCTGGTGTGAAAAATCAATAAAGTAATACTATATAAAAGTGGCAATTTCCAATAGAAACCTATTAAGTATCAGCTGAGAATCTTAATAATGTACATAGATCAAGCCGATGAAATAAAGCTTTAATAAAATGCTTTTGAATAAAAAAATGCCACTTTACAAACCCTTTTAACAAAATATCGTAACAAGAATTTTACTTAAAACCCCATTATTTATATTTTCATGTGGATATAGAATAAATGGTTTTAAAAGTACTCAAGTGTTAAGTGGTGTCTCGTTATTGTGTAGCTGTGGCTACTTTAACCAATGACTGCGGTGAAACGGGTGGCCATGCAGTGTGCTGTGCACTGTTCTTGGGCTTCAAAAGACAGGAAGCTTTTTTTTAAAATCTGTTTTATTGATTTTTTTACAGAGAGGAAGGGAGAGAGATAGAGAGTTAGAAACATCGATCAGCCGCCTCTGCACACCCCCCACTGGGGATGTGCCCGCAACCAAGGCACATGCCCCTGACTGGAATCGAACCCGGGACCCCCTAGTCCGCAGGCTGACACTCCATCCACCGAGCCAAACCGGTCAGGCAAGACAGGAAGCTTTTTAAATTTGATTTACATTTTAACAAACAATGGTCCTAACTGGGGAGAGAAAATACATAGAGAGAGAGAGAGAGAGAGAGAGAGAGAGAGAGAGAGAGAGAGAGAGGGATTTGTTGGAGCTAGAGAGACAGCAGAGATATATGTAGAACATGCAAAAACCTGAGCTACAGAAAGCCCCTTACCTGATTAACCTACAGGCCTGGCCCAGTGACACCCACAACTTTTGGGTAACGTGTCCCAGTTACAGTAAGCCTATAAACCCACCAGTCATGAGTTATCTGCAAGCATGCAAGAGGAAGTTCATGGAGGATGTTAGTAAAGCTGGCAAATCACCCGTCTTTCCTTTTGTCCAAAGCGCTTACGCTCTCCAGACGGTGCCATCTGAGACTCCCCCTGCCCACGCGTGTACAAAGACAGACAGGATGGGGATGCTTTCACAGCCGTGTCTTCTGGAGGATGTGGGGCTGTCCCTCTCCTTCCTGAGGTCCGAGTGGGCCTCCCATCAGTGGCCCGTCCCTAACCTGCTGCTCTGTGCCTCCGCCCGCCCCAGGGTTTAATCTGAAAAGTGGGTTCTGGGTGTTGGGTGCCAGCCTCTTCCTCTTGCTGGGCTTCTGATTCTTCACTGGGGACCTTGCCCTCAGCAGCTGGTCTTGCGTTCAGTTTTGCTCGATAAGCTTGGATGCAGCTCATCCACGTTTGGCATGGAGGCCTGCGTGCCCTGCAAGCAGGCTTTACAAACAAAAGGTGCCTAAAAATAAACCCAGTGCTTTCCAACGCACTCTCCTTATCTGAACTGGGACTGCACTCTGTCCAAAGTGCTCCGCATGCGGTTATTCAGAAAGAGCGCTTCCACTTTACTGCATCTTTCTCGAACACTTCCCAGCTGACGCCTACACCGATAAACGGCAATGTCTTTCTTGGGCTCACCCTCTTCCAGAGGTAAGTCTCAGATATCAGGTGTAGTGAAATCCAACTATCATTTACAGGACATCTCTCTTTTTAAAAAAATATTTTTATTGATTTTTACAGAGAGAGGGAGGGAGAAAGAGAAACATCAGTGTGAGAGTGGAACATCAATTAGCAGCCTCCTGCACGGCCCCCTTCCTGGGGATCAAGCCCGTCCCCTAGGCATGTGCCCCGATTGGGAATGGAACCAGCAACCTTTCGGTGCACAGGACAACGCCCAACGAAGCGAGCAACACTGGTCAGGCTGAACATCTCCCCGAAGCACAGCCCACGGTAAATTCAGAGACCATCAAGAGGTCTTGATTTCTGGTTCTAAGTATAGATACCAGTAAGTCAAATTCAACTTATGAACCTTTAGCTACTTCATTAGCAAATGAGATATTTTTAATGTAGTAAAAAGAATAAATTAGGCAGGTAGCCAAGGTATGAAACAAAATTTCTTTTAAAAATATATTTTTAGCCCTGACCGGTTTGGCTCAGTGGATAGAGCGTCAGGCTCTGGACTGAAAGGTCTCGGGTTTGATTTTGGTTGAGGGCATGTACCTTGGTTGCAGGCTTGATCCCCAGTAGGGGGCGTGCAGAAGGCAGCTGACCGATGTTTCTAACTCTCTATCCCTCTCCCTTCCTCTCTGTAAAAAGTCAATAAAAACATATATATACATATATATATAAATTGATTTCAGAGAGGAAGGGAGAGGGAGAGAGAAAGAAACATCAATGATGAGAGAGGATCATTGACTGGCTGCCTCCTGTACATACCCTACTGGGTGGGGATGGAGCCCGCACCGCAACTTGGGCATGTGCCCTTGACCGGAATTGAACCTGGGACCCTTCAGTCCGCAGGCCGATGCTCTATCCACTGACCCAAACCAACTAGGGCGAAACAAACATTTTAAAAACCATTTTACTAAGTATCTATTGAAACTTTTCTATAAGTATGCAAGTATTTCCAAATAAAAAGTAAAAAATTAAAACATTTTGTTTCCAGATTACTTCCCCTTCAAATATTCAAAACCTTTCTCTTGTGAAATTTAAAAGTTTTAATTTCATTCTATCACGCCATAGCTTCCTGCTAGCCCTCAGATTTTGAGCAAGAACACTTTGATGCAACAATTTGAACATGATATTTTAGTTTGCTTTGTAGGTTTGCTTTAACTGTCCCTGGATGGTGACCGCATGCACACTGGGTGCCCAGCTGCCAAGGGAGCAAGGTCAGAGTTCAAAGGTATTGGTACAGAAACCTAATTCTTAGGTTTGGAATTAGGCTGTGCAAACAAGAGATCCATCTGATAGGCTTAATAAACATTTGGTATTGACATTGGGGGCGGGGGTGTGGCAGGAGTCCAGGCTGGGGACTGAACTTACTTCAGAACCTGTAGAAGTCCAGGCGTCACTGATGTTGGTCTCACCACTCCAGCTCCATCAATGGCCCCCAGGTGGACCTGAGGGTAATAGACTGTCCGCAGAGCTAATTTCGAAGACTGCAGTCTTGTCTTAATGACTTCGAGTGGACAAGTGAAAATAGCACCAACCGTGCCCCCGCACCTGTAAGAAAAGAAATCACAACAGGATCAGAAAAGCCATGCCATTCTCTACGCAAGCAAAATGTGAAATTTATATTTTCTTTATTTAAAAAAAGAGCCCGGCCGGTTGAGACCAGATTGAGTGTTGGCCTATGAACCAGGAGGTCACAATTCGATTCCCGGTCAGGGCACATGCCCAGGTTGCGGGCTCGATCCCCAGTGTAGGGCATGCAGGAGGCAGCCAACCAATGATTCTCTCTCATCATTGATGTTTCTATCTCTCTCTCCCTCTCCCTTCCTCTCTCCAAAATCAATAAAAATATTTTTTTTAAAAAGAGACTTATGTTCATTTCATAATTAGAACATACGGGAGGTAAAAACAAATGATAGTTGAAATCACAGCAGCGAATGAGATAACCATTGTCACTGTCAGCACATCCTGTAGGGCTTTTCCGTACCGGCTCTTCAATCCCCAGTTGTCTAGATGTTGTGAATGTCAATATATACGTACACTTACGTCATCTGTAATGGCCGAATACTATTCTTCTATATTGATGTATAATATATTAACCAACTTCCTACTGTTAGACATTAATGTCATTTCCAATTTCACTACCCTGTTGCAATGAATATTTTAGAAAATGCATCTTTTCAGCCAAACAAAATAGTTCTTCAGGCACTGCTCCTATTTGAAAATCATTGTCTACTACAATGGACTTTTAATAAAGTCTAATTTGGACTCCATTGAAAGTTAGGCTAAAGCTTACTTTTAACGACCAATCAATTCATCCTGTTTTCCTTAGTCACAGTCTGAGTCAGGGAACTCCTTTACAATATTTCATACCAAAATATTACCTGTATTAAAATTTTAAGTATTTTTCTTCAAGACAACTCACTTATCCTAAAATATCTCCTCCCATCTTTTCTTAAACAATACCCATGAAACTGCGCTCTTAAGGGCTGGTGAGAATTAACAATGTCACATACTATCGAAAGCCGCCCCGCACCACCAACCACGCAGGTTCTACCCCTCGGAAAACATGAAAGCTCAGGGCCTGTGTCTATTCAACTTTGTTTCCCTGGCAGCAGGACTCCCAAGTTCACACACAATATTTCCTAAGCAAAGGAATTATTAAACTGACGTTTCAAGGAGGGTGTCTTTGATGGGATCTACATGTTTGAACACAGGACTTCCTCCGGCCTGCTATCACAGGTGACTGTCCCAGGAGCATCTCGCTAGGGGGCAGTAGTGCCTGGCACACTAGAAACCATGCAGCCAGTATCTCTGAGGGGACAAGTGGTGACAGGAACAGAAGGTCTGCCCGGCTCACAGAATATTAAGTTAGGAAATGTGGCTGCGAAGCCAGCACCTAGCACGGCGCCTGAGTAAGGAACGGGGTAAAGCCCCGTGTAGTATTTTAAAATCAAGAGCCTGCAGTCCCACAGAGCGAGCTGGAAGCTAGCGGTTTAAATGCTGGCATTTCTACTATGGAGTGAATGACTACCTCATGGTAAGCATGCAATCCTCCAACAATCCTTCAAGGTAGGAACTCTTTAGCCTCAAATCACCCCAAGGAATTGAAATGTCAGAAAAAAAGAGAGTAAAGGATTGGGGGTGGGGCAGCCATTCTGGGCTCTTTAGGCAAACCTGCTTTAAAGTCATGACGACAATACACCGTCACGATAAAACAAACCGTTTATATACACAGTGTCTTCTGAACTGTGAGCCAAAGCCCATCAACCACAAAGCAAGGCAGGGGATCGGTCAGAACGGGCGGGAGGCCGGCAGGAAGGGCTCCATGTATGAACCGGCCAGCATTTACCCCTCAGGGACTAGGGGCAAATATATAGAGGGGAACCTAGGTCTTAGTGAGGTCACAAAGCAGCTCAGTATCTAGTCTGAAACCCAAACCCAGGCCCTGTGTCCACAGCCTGGTTCGTCCCCCTGCGCTCAGGTTTCTCTCTGGGAGCACTGTGGGAAGAGGGTAGTGCAGACAGCGCTGCCAGCTCACGTACGCTGTTTCACTCTTCCTCAAAATGGAAAACTGTTGATCAGACAAGTAGGACTTCAAAACTCTAATGTGTCCTTTTGTATCAAGAAAAATTGTGAGCCGAAACCGGTTTGGCTCAATGGATAGAGCGTCGGCCTGCGGACTGAAAGGTCCCGGGTTCGATTCCGGTCAAGGGCATGTTCCTGGGTTGCGGGCACATCTCCAGTAGGGGGTGTGCAGGAGGCAGCTGGTCGATGTTTCTCTCTCATCGATGTTTCTGACTCTCTATCTCTCTCCCTTCCTCTCTGTAAAAAATCAATAAAATATATTAAAAAAAAAATTGTGAGCCCAACTGAATGCTGTTCTATAATAACTGGCTCTAAAGAAAATACGATATAATGGGGAGTGTTTTAAAAAATACCTTCCTAACCATGTCTATTTACACAAAATAATTACTCTTATCTATTACCATAAACACGTGCTTAAAAGGTATATTTTAAAACATTAGAACATTTACATGCTACAAAATCAGATAAAGGAATAGCTGAAACCTATTTATGCTCAATAACATGATTCCATGTCACCAAAAACAAACAAACAAAAAAACCAACATAAAACAGCTTCTGAGAAACTCTTTCATCAGAAAGCCAACAAGTTTGAATGAGGCACAGGTCAACCACCTCTGCTTTGCCCGCAGGTCAGCTGCCCTCCTTATCTGGCCAACTGTCATCCAAACCTATGCCACTGATCAAAGGATGACCTTCGGGGAGGTGTGCTTGCCCAACTAGGCAAATGTCCTACTATCAACCAGGCGGTGGACTCTTTGGGGATGGCAAGCCACACTCACTACCAGTCACTGGCATGGGTTGCACACTGTGCCCATGGCAGGGTGGTGGTGGTGACAGGCCCCGCCCGCCCGGCCTTCTAGACCACTAACCAGGGGACCAAGTAAGGCGCTCTAAACAATGTTACTATCAGAAGTAAGTCCCTTCTTACCCACCAGGAAAAAACTCAGATGAAAAAATGTCCAAAGGATATTCTAAATCGTTAAGCTGTGGTATAATAATCCTCTTAGAAGAACCTGATATTCAATTGAAATGTCCAAAGAAGTCTTCCTGAAACTTAAACCTTTCATAGCAAAATTCTGTATCTTTCAGCTCAACTTCTTTTTCTTTCTTCATGAGCCAACACATACAAGACAATCATTTGAACCAAAATGCTGACTTCTCCAGACTGGCTTTCCAAAATTTTCTAAAAATATTTCATCATGTTGGCTACAGAGCACTTAAGAGTACAACAAATTACACTCTTTGTGGAAGAGTTCCTGTCATTCTCAGTTGTTTGATACAAAGAAGCCCTTCAGCGTCGCTAGCTTGGATGAAGGCCCACCCACCGCTGGCAGGAGTCCTCTTCCGGAGGCCCAGCTCACAAAAGGCAGAGGCAGCAGCCTCCCATCGCTGCTTCGCAGCGGTGCTCTACTGAATGCCCCTTCCTGCCTATGAATCACAGGCAGGTTCCATGACTTCCTGGCAACTTTTAGCCCCAACACTGGGAACGCCCATATGGGTTCCACCAGTAGTCCCTCCCCCAATCACCTTCAGCCTTACTTGGCCTGGCAACCCTTCAAACAGCACTAGGTCCTCTCCTTCCTCTGGTCCTCATGCTCCTGGCCACCAAGCCACTGGGGCCCTAGTACCCTCCCGTGCCGGCCACAAGGCGACAAGACTGGCACTGGGGAGGAAGTCACCGGAGTCCTCCTCATCCTGGTGGCCTAGGCTAATGCAGCAGCAGCCTCCCGCCTGCAGGTAGCCTCTGCCATGGAGCAGGCGACCTCTCAGCCTCACCAGCCCCTCAATGCATGGAGCCCAGACCCCTAGGGCAGGGGTGGGGACAGGGAGAGACGGTGACAGGAAAAGCCTCTCAACACCACATCCCACAGCTATAACCTTCCTGCTCTGCACACACAAGCCAGTGGAACAGCTGGTGCAGGCGGGCGGACCCTGCCCCCTCTCTGGGTCTCAGAGCAGGCTTCTTGGGGTCCAGCCCAGGGCCTGGAAGCCGATGCTCGGCCAACCGGCAGAGTCACATTCAGCATCCACTCACACAGTGACACAGTGTGGGCATCAGGAAACAGACTAATCCTGATGAGATACCAATACTTTAGACCTAATATCCAAAGTGGGGGACATCCTTAAGAGGCCCACAGACATACAGGAAGGAAGTAGTACAGAGAGAAATAGTTCCGTTACATTAACCATTATCATCTCTACCTTTAATTTCTATTTTGTGCATGTTTTTTAATATATATATGTATATATATAGTGCATGTTTCATACATACATACATACACACACACACACACACACATATATATATAAATAAAAGAGTAATAAACATACATGGGGATATGCACAAACATGTTAATCATAGGGCCGTGTGATCAAAGTCTAAAGACCACTATTCTAGGCCAGTGGTTCTCAATTGGAACAATGTGCCCCCATCCTGTGACATCTGGCCATGCCTGGAGACATTTTTGGATGTTGACATTGGGGGAAGGGGTATTAGCATCTAGTGCAGCTGTGGGCAAACTACGGCCAGGCCGGATCTAGCCCGTTTGAAATGAATAAAACTAAAAAAAAAAAAAAAAAAAGACCGTACCCTTTTATGTAATGATGTTTACTTTGAATTTATATTAGTTCACACAAACACTCCATCCATGCTTTTGTTCTGGCCCTCCGGTCCAGTTTATGAACCCATTGTGGCCCTCGAGTCAAAAAGTTTGCCCACCCCTGAATTCTAGTGGATGTCAGGAGGCGGCTACAATGCACAGGACAGCCCTGCCCCATCCCAAGCAAATAAGCATCTGGCTGAGGTTGGAGAGCAATAAAATGGACAAGATATTCGAAGGCAGTGTAAGTAGCGTGGAGGCCACTGCTGCTTGTCTCCCAGCATCCATGCCCTCTTCCTGTCTTAAGAAAATTGATCCCAGATGTCTTAAGCCAGACAGTCTGGATGCAAGTGAACCATTTCTAGGTTTAGCCCCGACCCAATCAACGCTGCCACGTGTTCGGCAACGGGCACCCGATTCAGCCCAAGCAGCATAGTTCCCCTGGGAGCAGTGACTGGTTTAGAGGCCGGTGCATGTCCAGGTTGGTCCAGAGTTAAGCTCCAGCCAGACTTGTTCAATGGTGGGGAAACATTGGGAGTTGCTGTTAGCCATGCTGTGTTCATGTAAGGACCAACCCTGGAGTCAAGAAGGTATTTCTAGAAGGCAGAGCAGTCATCGCTGGTCCCAGTGACGCTGTCGAGCTATTTAGGTAAGTCCTCACCACGCCTAGCTTTCTCTATAATTCAATAACCAAGCCAGTAGGAACTGACATTATTATTTACAACTGAAAGCCTCCTAAATGAGCCTAGTCAAAAAGCCTTACACCCAAGCTTTTCAAGGACAGGTGGGCGGGCAGGTGGAGGGCCTCGAGTTTGACATGCTTGGCTTAAAGGGTTTTACTCTTATCAGCAATCTTCCAAAAGGCAGTTAGGGCTGTGTTTCTCCTAGGCTAGGTTTCTAGCAGCCAGGAGGAACTCCCTGGATGTTCATTTAATTCGCCCCTAAGGTAGTGCTCTAGTCACTGGCATCAAAGTCCAGAGGCATTCTCTGGGATATCCCATTCAGCAAAACCACCCAAAGACTCTGCACAGGGCAGCACAAAGACCAGGAGAGCCACCGTCGCTCTCTGGAGCCTACCTGCCCAGTCTCCTAAACACTCATCACCTGGATTTTTCTGGGCCTTTTCCCTCTTTTACTACTTGTTTCTTTTTCTATAAAGACATTCCTCCTCCCATTCTCTCTGTCTTCCTGCCCAGAACTGAAGTCTTATAGATAGGTTTAACTGTTTGTCTTTTTACCCACATAGGCCTGTCTTGATCCCCACCCCCCCCCCCCACACCCCGCCCTACCCTGTGAATTAGCTCCTCTCCAGTTTATAGCAGAACAAAGCTAGACTGTTAGTACATATATAGCTTTATGCGATCAGAGACATAAAAATTTTAAATTACGCACACAAATGTTTACTCTTTAACTCTGAATTTCAAGTAACAAGTACCATTTTTAAAAACTGGATATTTTCAATAAGACCTCTGTTTTCTACACATACACGGACATTTTTAGGCACTATAGTCAAGACCAATACACTCTTTATTATAATCACCACCAGACTGATAGGAAACTGGGTTTCAGACTCACCGTTTTTCATGACTATGATACGGACTCTACCCACAAAAGATCTGGCAGGCCCTGTGACTCCAACCTCTGGAGCTTTCTTTGTAGTTTCCCCTTTCATCTGCTATCTCTATAGTCACTTCTTAAAAAACACTAGTACTTCTTTACATAGAATTTTCTGGCATAAGGCTTAGATGATTTTGATTATGCAAATTCTGTATTCATTCAGTCAAAGCAAAATGCATAGTTTTTGATGCTAGTTCCTGTCTTCTATCTCATGCTTAGAGCATCATCCCTAGGTTGCGGGTTCGATCGCAGGACAGATCACATACAAGACTCAACCAACAAATGCATAAATAAGTGGAACAACAAATCGATGTTTCTCTCTCTCTCTCCCTCTAAACTCAATCAATAAAAAAAAAAAATACATGTTACCTATGCCAATATTGTTTCAGCAAATCTTAATATAGAACCATGTTCACAATTCACAAATAAAGTACTTCTCTGAATTTGAGACAATTTAACAAGCCACATCAATCTATACTCCCAGGCATGACCCACAATACTCTTTATTCACTTAATCAGTCATTAAACAAGTGTCCATTAAGCATCTATAACATGTGGGACACTGTACTTGGGATGTACCAGTGAAGAAAACAGACATGGCTACTATCCTCAGGAAGCTAAATTCTAGCAGCAATCTTTTCATCCGAACACCACGGAGCTTTTAAAAGTGTTTATTGTAGATATGAAATACTTCGGATGAAATCAATGTATAGTCTTAGCATACTTATATGAGCCATATACAAAATATGTGCACATTATATTTGTCTTATCAGAAGTTCTTTAAGCATTTGAAATAAGTCTTGCATCTTCTCTACATTGTCCCCCTAACAAGTATATTAACACATGCCCAACACTTCAAAAGTAACCATTAGCCTGTACAGATTAAACTTGTAGGCGAAAGCATAGTACAGGAGTATACTAGGTGACAGCTGTCCATAACGGGGGAGGGGAGGAGGGGGAAATACTAAATTTTGAAAATATCTTATATATTTAAACATACCATAGTGGCATTAAGATATATTTTAAAGCCTCTATAAGTATGTTTGATGACCAAAAAAATCATGGCATAAAAATAAAACCTAAAGCATATAATCCAGGCCATTAGCCTCGAGAGCTAATGACAGCTTAGTCTATTTCAGGTGCCAAGAGCATTTCCTAATCGCACCCGGATGTTACTGCTTGCTCAGCAGGGGAAGGGCATCCCTAATCCTACATGTGCACCAGAGCCCCGTCATCAGGCAGGGAAAATGTAAGGGATTTTCTCAACAGACTGAAGGCCTAGACAAGGGAGAGACTGTTACTGTTTCTCTTAATGAGATGTTAAGTTTAAATAGTAGAAAAGGAATGATAGGTTTTGCTATGTAATAACAATAAAATCTGTGTGAGGACATTTTGTGTTTTGATACTACTACCCAGATTTTGAGATAGGAGGAAAGAAAGCAGAAAACAGTAAAATCCCTGACCATACTAAAAGTCAACATCGAATGAATGAGGTCCATTTACACAGAAGTCATCACCCTAAGAGATGGTTTTATGAACGTGCTGGTAGATAGCAAAAGCCTTAAAAATGGCCCGGCCAGTGTGGCTTACCGGTTGAGTGTCAAACCAGGAACCAAGAGGTCACTGGTCGGAATCCTGGTCAGGGCACATGCCCAGGATGCAGGCTCGATTCCCAGTAAGGGTGTGTGCAGGAGGCAGCTGATTAATTATGTTTCTCATCAATGTTTCTATCTTTCTATCCCTCACCCTTCCCTTCCCCTCTCTCTAAAAATCAATACAAACACATTAAAAAAAATATCCAAAGGAAATCATCAAAGAACTACACATCTACACATAAGGATGTCCAGTTATTTATATCGGCAAACAAACAAACAAACAAACAAACAAACAGCAATGAGAGATGAGAAGTTATGTAATCCGAGGAAGTTAGGTAGCCCTGTCATAAATTACTGTAGCATCCTCACTGAACTCGTCATGGGCTTGGAATTGGTTTGCCTCTTCGTTGCAACCACTGGACAGTAAGTCTCCACTAAAGGTACACGTGGAGAGTTCACTACCATTAAAATGTAATATATTACGAGGAAGAAAGCAATTCTGAAAATATGAGCCTATTTTAAAATTAACTAAAGAATTACATCTGGTCCAGATACACGCACAGAACCTTTTTTAATGTGCTTACTTCTCGCCCTAACCGGTTTGGCCCAGTGGATAGATAGAGCGTCGGTCTGCAGATGGAAAGGTCCCAGGTTCGATTCCTGTCAAAGGCATGTACCTTGGTTGCAGGCACATCCCCAGTGTGGGGTGTGCAGGAGGCAGCTGATTGGTGTTTCTAACTCTCTATCACTCTCCCTTCCACTCTGTAAAAAATCAATAAAGTATATTTAAAAATAAATAAATAAATAAAGTGCTTACTTCTCGGTGTTGGTTTGTGGGTGGTTTTTCTTCCAGTTCTTTTCTTGAAAGGCAACACTATGTTAAAAAGATGATTTGCAGCTTAACGTCGGGCTATTTTCACCTTTGCAAAGAACCCAAGAAACTGCCTTTTAAAAAAGAAATAATTAAACCTGAAAGACTAATGTGTTGTTTTGGGTGTAGCTTTTATTTTCGAGGATCTAAAATTAATTTTATCCATTCACAAGCCTGTAATACCTGATATAATATTTACTCAATATCATTAATTAGGGATAGCATTAAACTTGTTAGATGTTAGTTTCCAATGGCTATTCAATAAAAGGAGACATGTGACATTTAAAGAGCTGGGGCTGACTTCTTTTCAAAGGAAATGAGCTTAGTTCTTTGGAAAGATGCCAGCTGAACAACATGGAAACTAGTTACTTCCAGCAAAGCAGCATGTCATCCACTGGACCAAGCTGGGGGTTGACTGACTGTAACTGTATATATAATATACCTATTCAACACCTGGCTCCTATAATGTTCTTCCCTAAAAGAAATGCATTTTAGGCTAGAGGGAAGGAATCAAAATCCATTTAGTGACTCTGAAAGCCTCCTTTTGGAAGATTTCTTGCTTTCTTGAGTGTCTTAGGGAACCCTGAAGTGCTGCTAGTGAAGGAACTAAATCCTGTTAAATTCAGGGCTGCAGGCACTACCCTAATGAACTCTCTAAATGTTAATCAGTTTTCCTCCATCACAAGGCTGGCGCTTCGGTAGGAGAATCAGCAGCCAGAGGGCACTGTGAAGGGCGTGCAGGGAGATTCACCCAGACAGGGTGATCCATTACGCGGCAAGCCTCGCGGAGACTGCTCCAGACGGGCAACCCTCCAGTGTGAAATGCAAAGGATTTTTAAGAGACCACCTCACTAAAAACAATAAATTGAAATCACAGTATAACATCATTAGAAAGAATGATCCTTCTTGGCTTTAATAATATGGCCGGCTTGTTTAAAATTCTCCAGAATGCCCCATGAACACTTTGTCATAATTTAAGAATTGCTGCCTGCCCCTCTCCCCAAGCTGAAATATCAATGGGAAGAAAACATCAATGGGGAGATGACGTGAAAGGATGAGAGGGAATGATAGGGAAGAGATGACTGTTTTGGTTGGAAAAACATAAGACACTGCCTGAGCACCTACAATAAGTACACAGAACTAAGAACCCTCTCGCCATAGTTATTTTCACAGGTAAGTTCTCAACCATCATTTGTCTGTAACAAGGAACATATCTAGGCCGAAGTCTAAGCTGCAACTAACACCCTCAAGTCAAGATGACCATCCAGAATAAGTCCCATTTTATACAGAATGCCCTGTCCTTCACAACTGCTGCGGCAGGCCTGCGAGGTCCTCAAGTAAGACTCAAGGACGCAAAGCCACCGGCTGTGATGAAAGAAAACAATAACTAATAATACTCAGAACCATTTACTGATCTATTTTCTGAAGAAACAAACAAATCAGCTCCCCTAAGAACACCGTGATCACCCAACCTCCTTAACAATGCGTTGCCTCCACTGAAAACCAGCAGCGGCAGCGTGATGATCAAACCAAGCACGCGGCTCTCAAAACAGAACGACTCACCTTGGACGCGTCTACCCGCAGGAAAGAAGCATTTCAACACGCTTTCCGGGCCTTACTTTCTCCCGGGGGTGGGGGTGGGGTCCCCCAATAGACTCCCACAGGTTGCTGGCTGCATCTCGGTCGCCAGCGCTTCCCAGGCCCTTGCGGATACCCAACACCTACAGCCCACCCGACTGTCTGAACTCGGCCCGAGCTACCCCGCGGAGCTCCGGGGCCAACCCGAGCATCCATCTGACCCCCAGGCCCTGGGTGGGGGGGATCCAGGCAGAGGGGCTGCAAGGGCGGCTGGCAGGGAGGACGCAGGGCGGCCGAGACACGGTGAGCAGGCAGGACCGCCCCGAGCGGCACTCGTCACACCAGCCGGTAATTGTTTAAAAGGACTAATGGCCGGAGACGCCACGGGGAGGGGGAGGGGCGTGGGGACGCGGCAGGCTCCGGGCAAAGCCACGCTAGGGGGAAGCGGGCCCCGGGAGGGAAAAAGGCCGACGCCTCCCGGGCCTCCTCGCCGCCCCGACGCCGGGGCTTCCTCCTCGGGGAGCCGGCGCTTCGGCCTGGGGAGGGCCGGTCACCGGCCAGGGCGCACCGAGGGCGCGGGACGGGCCCAGAGAGCCGCGGGGTGGGGTCGAGCCGGGACGCTCACCCGCCGGCGAAGAGGTGGAGCAGCGTGTTCTCCTTCTGCTGCGAGCCGGTCGCCATGGCCGCGCCGGTGCCGCGGCCCGCCGCCGCCGATGCCGCAGGCGCGAGGCGGCTCAAAGGATGCGCGAGGCGGCCCGCTCCGCTAGCCCCGCTGTCCTCAGGCGTCCGCCGGCGCCGTCCCCATGCGGGCGCGTCCCCACGACCCGCTCCCTCGGTCCGCGCACCCCGCGGCGTGGCCGCCGGCCCTTCACCCGCCTCTGCGGCAGGAGGCCGGCGTCCAGTGGAACCCCACCGCGCGGCCGTCACGTGGCGGGGGCCGGGTCCGACGTCACGCGGCGGCGCGCGCAGGGGCGGTGAATGGCGGGGGTGTGGACCGGAATCTCTGCTCCCATTGGTCGACGGGCGGATGTGGGCGGGGCTAGCGCACAGCCGGGGCGGGGTTCCGCTTGGAGCGCGAGACGGGGCGGGGCCAGCCTGGGCCCTCGCGGTGGAGGGAGAACCGGCTTCAGCAGCCTGGTGCTTGCTCGCAGGCTGAGAACCTGGGCCTGGCTGGTTGGGGAGGCCCTGGCCTTTTTACCTTTTTAGTCTATATTTTCCTTTACTTTGTGATGCTCACGATGTGCAAAAAGGTATATAAGTTACATATGACATCTCACAGCTCTGTACTCACCACCCAGTTTAGGGAAAAAAACCACGATCAAAAGCACTAAAACCCCCAGTGTACCCCTAGTATAATTTTGTATATTTCTTATTTTTCTAGAAATAGCATTACATGCTGCAATACGCTTTCTGGCCTATCGTTTCTGATCATCTCCAGACTGCTTCTCTGCTTGTGTGTCCTTGGGTCAGCGTCCAACTCAGCCTGGCATCTTCTCACCACCAGGTGAGAAGGCCTTTCCCTGGCTACCACTCTATCATATGCCTCCGTGTAATTTCCTCGTGTAGGTTCCTGCGGCTACTTTGCTGATCAATTTGGTTAAGTTGTCCTTTGGCCAGTGGAATGTCAGCTTCAGGAGTGCAGGGACCTTGTTTCATTTGCTCGCAGTTGCTCCTGACAAAGTATCCGAGGCTAGTAACACCCAAAAAACTAGTGAGTCAATGTCCCTAACTGAACTCATCATTCCCGGCCTCTTTTATTTCCTGTCCTGGAAATATGACGACACCACCATCTACACGGCCACCAATGCCAGAAACTTTCATGTTACCTTGAACTCCTCTCTCTTTCTCTGTCTCTCTCCTCTCCCAACAGTCCATCAGTCTCCTGGCACTTCTATCTCCTAAAATTCTCCCAAAGCGCCACCCCTTCTCTGTGTTCCTTCCACGGCTGCTGCGGATTCCAGTCAAAGCAGTACCTTGACCAGACAGAGCTGCTAGACGTCCTGTGTGTAAACACACAGAGAGCTTAAGTAGAAAGGGAATGTGTGCAAACACAGGAGCTGGGGATTTGATTGCTGGGACTCTTTAAAAACAACTCCCGGGGGCAGTCATCCAAAATACAAATACAATGAGCACTCCATATTAAAACCATTACTCCCAGGCCTAGGAAGGGAAAGCCGTACAGCACTCCACATACGGGAAAAGGAAGGAAAGAAGGCAGGCCGTGAGAAAAGGTGACTCCGACGCTTTCTGGGTCTCCCAAGTCCCTTGCTCTGGTTGCTTAGGAAGTCATGTAGGTTTTAGCTGAAGATTTATGAGGCAGAAGGAAAGAGGAGGAGAAAGTAATGCGACCCCGTTAGCCAGGAGGGAGCTGTGCCCCACCTGGTAAAATTCGAACCCCAAGGAGACACTGCTGTCCTTGGATGCTCTCTCATAGGGGTGATTGAGGCTGGGACCCAGGCCTCTGATGCCAAGGCAGCACCCAGCCTCCTGCCTTCTTCCCGGGTGTGTGTGTGGGGGGGTGGGGGGGGGAGGGGACTGCTAGTCTAGGGCTGAGCTAGACACATAAACAGGCCTCCCCACCTGCTTGTTCATAGCTGTGCTGCCTTTGGGTTGGAGTTTCTCCAAGGTCTTTCGTTGTTGTTATCTTGTTGAGTACTCACAATGTGTGTAGCCTGCTGTTTTCGTGGATAAGCAGGGTAGATTTGCTCAAGGTCACACAGCTAACTAGTGGCTGATGCAACAGTCGTTCATGCCTCCGTGCTTTGGGACATGCTGTTGCCTAGGAAGCGCCCTTCCGCTGCGGGCCAGCCAGAGGAAGCTCTCCGATTCATCCATCCATTCATCCACCCATTCAGCACATATTTCTTTCTTTCTTTTTTTAATATATTTTTATTGATTTTTTTACAGAGAGGAAGGGAGAGAGATAGAGAGTTAGAAACATCGATGAGAGAGAAACATCTATCAGCTGCCTCCTGCACATCTCCCACTGGGGATGTGCCCGCAACCCAGGTACATGCACTTGACCGGAATCAAACCTGGGACCTTTCAGTCTGCAGGCCGACGCTCTATCCACTGAGCCAAACTGGTTTCGGCAGAGAGTTAGAAACATCAATGAGAGAGAAACATCAATCAGCTGCCTCCTGCACACTCCCTAACTGGGGACGTGCCCACAACCCAGGTACATGCCCTTGACCGGAATCGAACCTGGGACCCTTCAGTCCGCAGGCCGACGCTCTATCCACTGAGCCAAACCGGTTAGGGCAACATATTTCTTGAGCGTTTACTCTGTTCCAGTCAGTGTTCTAGGCTCTGAGGATACAGCAGGGATTAAAACGGGTAAAAATATTTAGCAAAAACGGTAGCAATCAGACCCAGCAATAGGTGAAAGGGATGGTATCTCACGGTCAAATGAGATCTGCCCCAGGAATGGGAGGTTGGTTTCACATCCCAAAATCAACAAGTTTCAGCATATGGTGTGTATTGCTTTAATATGATTTCCAATCCACCTGTTTATGACAAAGAAAAAAAAAGTGGCTTTGATATAAGAATGAAGTCAGTCGTGCCAGGATGTCATCGTTTTACATCTGTTGTCATTGATAAGCAGTCAGCAGCCTAGCTACTGGGGTCCCCCTGGGAGCTTATCCATTAGAACGTGTGGAGAAGCAGCTATGGCAAGGGGACATTTAGACGATAAAATACTGAGAACTTGGGAGGGCTTTCTGAGAGTTTCAGTTTGGACGGAGGGACTCCTGCTAATACAAAAATGTCCAGAAGACCCCGGGCACCTGTCCTGTCTGGGTGAGGTTCTCCTGGAAGACAGTGGGAATACATATCTCAGCTCCAGGTGAAAGAGATCAGGCCGCCCACCAACGCCTGCATCTTTGTTCCCTAGCAACATGCCCTAGCAACCCAGGACTTGCACTTTTGAGCTGGCAGCAGGAAATCAGCTCTTTGGTTGGTTGCCATCGCTCTCAGTGCCTACTCACATCAAAAGGTACACCTCTGTTGAAATTTGGACTCTATTCCTTCGCCTCCCCTTGCCGGGAACAATAGTGTGATTAATCTGTCATTTGTTTGCAATAAGTAATTTCTCTATTTGACTTACTAAGAGATATCCTGTATACGATTGGCTTGTGAAATTATTATAATTCTCACAGCAAACCTGTGCTAAAGAGATTGCTGGCAAAGATAAAACTTAGTTTCTAAATCATGCTTTTGCAGCCTCCCAAAGCAAAAACAAAAACAAAGCAGCATATTAACAGAATAAAGGAGAAAAACCAGATGACCATGTCAATAGATGCAGAAAAAGCATTTGACAAAATTGAAAACCTATCTTTTAAAAAAGTTCTCAGCAAACTGAGAATAGGAAGGAATTATACTACCTGATAAAGGGTGCCTATAACAAACCTACAGCTAACATCATATTTTTTAAAAATATATTTTATTGATTTTTTTACAGAACAGTAGGGAGAGGGATAGAGAGTTAGAAACATTGACCAGCTGCCTCCTGCACACTCCCTACTGGGGATGTGCCCACAACCAAGGTACATGCCCTTGACTGGAATCGAACCTGGGACCCTTGAGTCTGCAGGCTGACACTGTATCCACTGAGCCAAACCAGTTAGGGCAGTAGCATCATATTTAATGGTAAGAGACTGCCTGCCTGCTTCCTTAAGGTTGGCAACAAGAAAAAGCATCTGGCCCTAACTGGTTTGGCTCAGTGGATAGAGCGTTGGCCTGTGGACTGAAGGGTCCTGGGTTCGATTCTGGTCAAGGGCACATGCCCAGGTTGCAGGCTCGATCCCCAGTGGGGGACGTGCAGGAGGCAGTTAATCGATTCTGTCTCATCATTGATGTTTCTATCTCTTTCTCCCTCTTCCTTCCTCTCTGAAATCAATAAAAAATATTTAAAAAAGAAAAAGCATCTGCTCTTATTCAACATGGTTCGAGTGGTACCAGTCAGCGCAATAACGCATGAGAAAGAAATAAAAGTCAAAGCCCTGGCCGGGTAGCTCAGTTGGTTACAGCTTCATCCTGATATGTCAAGGTTGTAGATTTGATTCCCAGTCAGGGCACATACAAGAAACAACCAATGACTGCATAAATAAGTAGCCGAAGCCGGTTTGGCTCAGTGGATGGAGTGTCGGCCTGCGGACTGAAGGGTCCCAGGTTCGATTCTGGTCAAGGACATGTACCTGGGTTGCGGGCACGTCCCCAGTGGGAGATGTGCAGGAGGCAACTGATCGATGTTTCGCTCTCATCGATGTTTCTAACTCTCTATTTCTCTCCCTTCCTCTCTGTAAAGGTTCAATAAAATATATTTTAAAAAAAAAAAGTGGAACAACAAATCAATGTTTCTCTCTCTCTCTCTCCTTTCCCTGCTCCCCCCTCTCTAAAAAGTAAAAAAGAAAGTCAGAAAGGAAGAAGTAAAACTGTCTTTAGGTGCCTAGAGCTGGAACTGATTGGGGAAGGGCCTTTCTACAAAAAGACTAGAACTTCTTAGGGTGATGATCTGCATCCTCATCAGTGTTCCCGGAGAGCCACCTGAGTTGGAGGGAGCTCTCCCTTCCTTGGCCGTCATCACTCTCTTGAGAAAGAATTCAGATGAGTGACTGTAAACAGTGTTGAAGCAAAACAAGTGAATTTCTGAAGAAAACAAAACAAGCAAATTTATTAAGAATACTAGAGGCCCAGTGCACGAATTTGTGCACCAGTTGGGGGCCCCTCGGCCGGGCCTGCACCCTCTTGCAATCTGGGACCCCTCTGGGGATGTTGGACTGCAGATTTCAACCCAATCACCGCAGGTCAGGCTGAGAGACCCCACCAGTGCATGAATCCATGCACCGGGCCTCTAGTATGCATATAAGATCTTTGGTTAATCTCTTCCCACCCTCCCCCTTCCCCACTTCCCTCTGAGATCCATCAGTCTGTTCCATGT